AGGAGAGCGGCGGAGGAATGAACAAGAGAAAGCTACGGGAGCCGTGTGATCTGATGATGCCCACATCACCGCCTTCCATTTTACCGTCGTCTCCTTCGTCGTCCTTATCGTCGCCGTCTAAATCTCCGTCGCCTCCTATGTCATCGTCGTTCTCGGCTCCATCGTCGCCCACGTCGCTTGATTCTCCGATCCGACGGCTCAAAATGACCAACGCTGATTAGATCAATCGGACCCGATTGTACCGCAATCGCGCTTTTTTTTTTCGGGGCCAAACTGCAATTACCCGTTTAAACGGTTTTTGATGAATTACTTTCCTTTTTTGTTTTTAATTTTTTTCTTTGGCTATGATTTATTTTGTTTGTTTATATGACTATTAGTAACAATATTAATTCTAATGATTAACTAATTACATTTCTGATCTTCAATTCAAAATTTAACTCCGTCTATTTTCCTCTTGAATGTATTGTGTAGGATGGATACTGATTATTATTTTTAAATGTCTACTTATTTATGTGAATTTCGTATGTGTTAGTAAACGAATAAAAATATACGAATTGTGTGTGGTAGTAAAAAAATAAGAAAAGTCAACAAAGGGAATAGTTCGGTGCTTTTGAATCTTAACCTCTCGTGGTTACTCGAGGAAGTATTACCCCTTTTAGTACACAACGTAATACAAAATGTGTATCACGGTTTTGGCAAAGATAAATGTTCTGATGCGAAATTGCTTTTATGATACATACACGCTTTGGATTAGAGTAACTTTGAATATCGCTTTTGTTAACCGTGATAAATAGCAAGCAAGCATTAGAGAACGTTAGGTTTGCTTCAAAATTCAAACAAATAAAATTAAGAAAAAAAGAATAAAGGAAGAGAAGAAGAAGAGGGAAGTGGACGTGCATTTGTAGAGAGTGGGGTAAATCGGTGGGGATTGGAAATTAAAAAGATATAGAGATTTGGTATGGATTTGGTTGAGTTGGAGAGATGAGCCTGCAAGATCTTGTCTGGTAGAGAGAATATATTGGAATGGGATTGTGAATTGGACGTGTTTGAAATGCCCCTGAGCTCAACTCCCCTGTTTTGTCTCTTTGTCCCTCTGGAAGTGGGCATGCTTATCGATTTTTTTTTAGGCAAAATTTACTTGAAACGATAGAAGTTATAAATGAGTTTGGTTTTCGTAGTCAAGCTTGCTAAGTAATTTGATCTTTCAAATAATATACACTTTGTTTTTTCAGAGTCAAACTTCATTGTTCATTTTGTGGACTAGTATTAGGCATGGGCTATTGAAAGGTTTTTTAGCTAAAATGATTTATGAGATTGACATAACTCTTTACTTTTGTTCCTAAGAGTTTAAATCAATAGAATGGTCTCTGAGATTGTCTACCGTAAATCATTTTGGTCATTCCGTGAAAAATCTCCGTTAAATTGAGGATATTTTGGTCAAATTAACCCCTCCACTTGAGCTGGTGATTTCTTCAATTTAACGGAATTTTTTCACAAAATAAATCAAAATGATTGACGGTAGATAATCTCAAAGATTAAAGTGTAAAGTTATGTCAATCTTAGAGACCATTTATTTTCTTAAAGTCTCTTTCCAATAATTTATTAACAATATTACATAAAACTTAAAATTGGAATTGAATGGAAGAGATTATGTGATATATGTAGGAGTGGCTAATCTTTGAGAAAATATCATTTGGACCCCCACATGGGAAGTTGAGAGGGAGAGAGAAGACAATGCAGAGCTGTAGTTTTTGTTTTTGAATCTTTTTGAATGTGAATCAAGAAAAAGAGAGGAAGTGGGTCTAGTGGTTGTGACTAGTTTGGCTTTTGGTCTCACCAAGGGCATCAACTTTTTTATTCTCTAAGGTGCCACCAACGCAACAAACAATCAAATGTAATCAAGCAAAAATTGATCTTAATTTGCCCTTAAAACTATATCCTCAAGACTTTGGTAAACGATATAGTTTTTTTATTTTTTTACTTTTGCCACTAGTTAGGCGTAGATGATTCTAAACCGTTGATTTAGGTGAGATTTGATGTGAAAATTAAAGACTCACGACAGCTGTGAACGACACCCATTTATGTGTGGACAAAAGAGGTTGAGATTTCTTCCAAACCTAATTTGGTAACCATGATTTGAGTGAAGAAACTTGGACACAATTACCTCTAGAAGAACATTTTATTTTTCTGATTAAAAGAGAAAAGAAAAAAACATTTTACTCCTTACGGGTTTGTTCTCATGTGGTTTTGACATTTTGAAAACCGGTTCAATTGTGTTTTTCTTTTTGATATTGAGAAATAAAAGAGAATAATATATGGTGATTAAGGCATTTCTCTTTAACTCGTTGCATTTCGAGTTTAAATCATTGCCGCTTCTTTTAGCGTAGAATATCACTTGTAATCAAAAGAGAATAAACCGAAAACCGGTCCGGTGCGTGTCGGTTTTCTTGAAGCAATCTGGCCATGCACCTTCTTTTAAAATGACCATGCCCCAAGCCTTCAGCCGACTGTCAATCACAAGAAGGCGCATTGCTTGAAGCAAACTGGCCCATGTCACCTATGGCATTACCAAATTGGGCCCTTTTTTCAATCTATGTCAATAGAAATGGCCTTTAAACCACAAAAACAAACAAGGCCAGTTGTCCCAACCCAAATAAAAGAGAAACATCTAAACATAAAGCCCATGAAAGAAGCATTTGGAGGACCCTAAACCCACAAATTGTGGTAGGATACTAGGAAAGAGTAGCATTTTTCTTTTAAATTTTACGATGATTAGAAGGAGGGAAATCAGTTTGAAACTATTATAATAATTTAAGAGAAGAAAATTGGAAAGTTTCAAACTCGGTACGTATGGTCATACAGTTGAAGGAATTAAAAGGACTTGTTTGACTCTTTTACCCTTCAAATGACAGAGAATAATTAAATTTGCAAGCACGACAACGTCTAAAAAAAACTGCATAGTCTTCAGACGTGAAAAAGCAAATCATTATATAATTTTAGAGATCTTTTCCATAAGTGGTCTAACATTTTATTGAATTGGGTATTCGGTTTCTACCCATGCGTCCTGAGTTAAAACTCTCTATCCTTTAAATTATTGACCTAATTAATTAGTTTCAAAATGATCCAATATATATATATATATATATATTTGGTTTCAAAATTCAAATTCATAATATCACCTCTGACCAAAACAAAAGTATTATTTACCTTAGATGTCATGATTATTCTCACGAATATAAGCTAAAAAAAATATTAATTTCACAATTTTCGTTCAGATACAATATTTTAAGCACAAATCATTTTAGTTCGAGAAACCTTCAAATATTATCGGAATGTTCTTCTTGAAGAATGTATCTCGCTTTTTTGAATATCAACAATACAACCACCAATTCTCCAATAAAAAATCCAATTTTATTTCAAATTTCAAACTTTTTTTTCTTTTTTTTTCCCCTGGTGGGGGAAGAAATAGTAATCAATTTGTGGGGTTTTTTCAACCACTACACACAGGGTTAAGACAACAACCTCCAAAATAAAATAAAATAAAATAAGCGTTGCTGAAATTAATTTGGTGAGCCACTATTTCTCTAATTTCTTCATGGGGAATGTAATGTGTCAATGAAGTCATCGTCAAAACCTACAATTCCCCATTTCTTCTCCTTAACATATGAAACCGAGGTCGTTGACCAATTTATCTCGTTGCCTTTTTGGCTTAACGTAGTTTTCAACGCGTCCAAAGTCCGGATCAATAAAGACAACAACAATCTCTTCATGCTTGCTTATTCGAATTATCTTCACATTAACAGATTGATCATTAAAACATATATTTACGTTATGCGATCGATGACGGAGTGCGGAATTATTCAACAGATGAGATAAACTAAAATTATTATTGTTTTCTAGGCTTCTACCCTTCAAACTTTCATATGAATCGTGTGTAGTATAAAAGTTTTAGTTTATTACTATTAAGTTTTAGTATTGGTTAAAGTGATAGAGTTTATTTAACACTTACTAACTCTTACTTTCCCTAAAAATAACTCTAAAATTCGTACTTTTCATTTAATAGGTGGGCTATGACAATCCAAAATTATAAAACAGTTCAAATGATGATTATCTTTAATCTTAAAAACTAAACTCTCTCTATGTTATACCTACTAAAATTTAGTAGTTAGCTCCGTCGGTGCATGCGACAATTGTTGTAATTGTTCTTGATGAAAGAAAAATCGCGTCATTTAAAAAAAAAAACGCGTCAAAAGCCCAAATGCTTTTCAGCTGTAAAAATTATTGAAGGAAGGAAGGAAGGGATGGGGAATGTTGATAAAGTCTCCCCTTCTGACTTTGTTCGTTGATATTATCATTACGTACAAGATTAACTAATCTCTAATTACTAGGTCAGCAAGATTAAGTAAAAGGTTCAGAATGAGACTTGGGAGTAAACATGTTGGCTTAGCCAACTAAGTTTCACAGCATATTTTGGATTTGCTTCTTAAAAGTCTTTTCGGTTTTGGAAATGAAAACTGTCGTGACAAATCCATCAACTAGTCACTTTTTTAAAGTTTATAATAATGAAAGAAGATGGTTTGAACCCAAGACTAGTGACTTAAAGAAAAAAAAACCCTAACTATTAGAACAATCCACCACTTATAAAACTAAATTCATTTTTCACTCAAGTTTACCAAGATCTAAAAAAATTAAGACCTATCACCCTAAATCTAAGCGATGGAAGCATCGATATCTTTGTAGGAATTGGATATGCTTTCGGAGCCTAGGGATCAATTAATCTGACAATTATAAATTCATAAATATATTAGATAGAAACAAAATTGGGTGATTTACCACTTCAACAAACCGTCCATAATTTCTGGCTTGAAACAGTAAACCAATCATGTCATTTGTTTAATTAATTTTATGAATTAAAAATCTAATCTTGAATTACTAAAGCGTGGATTTGTAGTTAGTAATGGGATGTGAACTTAATCCAAGTTAGAAACGTCTTTTGAGTGGTTGAATATATATATAAAAGCCCGGGAAGAAATTCTGGAAAAACAAACAGCTAACTACTAACTTTGAAGCTTTCAGCTTTTCATCAACCAAACCCTCCCCAAAAAGCACCACGACAAATCCATACATTAAAGGTTTAGACTTCTTCCATTCAATGTCAACAAATTTACTGAGAGTTCCAACCGATTCAGTTTCCAAAAACCCATCTCTCCAATTTTTCCAAAAAGCTTCATGGCTGCCAGGAATCGGCCATGGATGCTCTCTTGTTTTTTCACTTATGGTTTTTTAGTCACTTTTATTATTTTTGTAAATGTTATTCCTTCTTGTCATGGCCAATCCCCTCAAAATATTGAAACTTTCTATCCGTTTACGGCTCCGTCACCCGAAATCCGACCTTCATTGCCTCCCAAAGACTCTCCGCCGCAACCGGAATCACAGCCGCTGCCGGTGCCTTTGCCGCCAAGAAAGTCTGCGTCAAAGCGTCAGATTGCGAAGGCTGCGGCGATCACTGCAGCCTCCACTCTGGTGATTTCCGGGCTGGTTTTCTTTTTTGTGCATAGGTACCTTGTTGCGCGGCGCAAGAGAATTAATGGCGGGAGTTATGATGGTGGTGGTGGTGGTGGTAGTGGAGGTTTGCAAGGAGGCCAGCCTCAGCCGGGGCCGCCTGTAGCGGTTCAGAGTGAGTTTTCAAGATATGATGGGAATCTCAAGGGGTTCATTGTTGATGAGAACGGTCTGGACGTGCTTTACTGGAAGAAGCTCGAAGCGATAAACTCGAAGAAGAGTTTTCGAAAGGAGTTGTTTCGAAAAGATGGTGAGGAAGACGAAGGGAGTAGCAGAAGAAGAAGGCGCGAGCCCATACAGGAAGTTCCTCTGCTCAGAGGAAAGTCTTCAACTTCCCACATCAATGATGTACCAGAATTAGTGAGTGATCGAATTCGAAATGGATCAACGGCTCTTAAAGCTATTGAGAAATCAAAAGAACCAGAAGTAGAGCTAACTATTCGATCGTCAAGTCCTCCGCCTTATACTTCCCCACCACCAACGCCACCTCCACCGCCGCCGCCGCCAATGCTGCCTCCTGTCCCAATTGCAATTAAGAAAAGCTCCGCAGCGCTTCCTCCTCCTCCAGCACCGAAAGTTGCAGCTAAGAATGGTCCTGCACCCCCGCCTCCACCCAAAGTGCGGAGTTTGAACGCGTTGTCAAAGCCATCTCCGGGACAGAAAGGTGAACCTGGGGAATCTTCATCAGGAGCAGGAAATGATCAGGTGAAACTGAAGCCCCTGCATTGGGACAAGGTGAACACAAATAATACTCAGAATTCCATGGTGTGGGACAAAATGGATGGTTCATTCAGGTAATGAAGTGATTTCCGCTTGCCATTTTTCTCCTTCTACACACCATTGTTTATTTTGCGTTTCACCGTGTTGTCTTGTTGTATTTGGTTTTGAAGTTTCTAAAAGTTTGCTACTCTCAGATTTGATGGTGACCTAATGGAAGCGCTTTTTGGTACGGTTGCCACCAAACGGTTATCCCCCGGAAGAGACAGCAGCCAAGCGAATCCGAGGGGCGCCAACGTCGGTCCATCAGCGCAGATTTGTCTCCTGGACAGCCGGAAGTCCCAGAACATTGCCATTGTCATAAAATCGCTGATGATTTCTCGAAAGGAGCTCCTTGATGCGCTCATGGAGGGCAGAGGTCTCGATGTAGAGACTCTCGAAAAGCTTGTTAGAATTGCTCCAACCGAAGAAGAACAATCCCAAATCCTTGAGTACAGTGGAGACCCTACAAGGCTTGCTGACGCAGAGTTCTTCCTCTACCACATTCTCAAAGCTGTTCCCTCAGCGTTCATTCGATTCAATGCCATGCTCTTCAGATACAACTACGACGAGGAGATTGCTAGCCTCAAGGAGTATGTACAAACACTTGAACTCGGGTGCAAGGAGCTTCGAACGCGAGGGCTTTTCATGAAGCTGCTAGAGGCAATTCTCAAGGCTGGAAACCGCATGAATGCAGGAACTTCGAGAGGCAATGCCCAAGCTTTCAACCTCAGTTCTCTTCGAAAGCTATCCGACGTTAGAAGCAGTGATGGGAAAACAACCCTGCTCAATTTCGTTGTGGAAGAAGTGGTGCGATCTGAGGGGAAGCGGTGTGTAATCAACACGAATCATAATTTGAGTCGCAGCAACAGCCAGAGCCATAACAGAAACCCAAGTGCTGAGAATATAAAACCGAAAGAGGAAAGAGAGAGGGAGTACATGACTGTAGGATTGCCCGTGGTTGGAGGCATCAGTGCCGAGTTCTCTAATGTGAAGAAGGCGGCTAGTATAGATCATGACAGCTTCGCAGGGATGTGCTCGGCTCTCACAACCCGCGTGGCGGAAACTAGAGAACTCCTGCTCCAATGCGAGAACGACGGTGGAAGATTCGTTAGGGACACGAAGGGTTTTCTGAAAGCAGCAGAGGAAGAGCTGAAGGTGGTGAGAGAAGAGCAGAAAAGGGTGATGGAGTTGGTGAAGAAAACAACAGAATACTATCAAGCAGGGGCTTCTAGGGATAAAGGGGCTCACCCATTTCAACTCTTTGTCATAGTTAAAGATTTTCTGGGCATGGTTGATCAAGCATGCGTTGAAATTTCTCGAAATATACAGCAGAAGAAGGCGGTTGCAGCGAGTTTAGGATCATCGTCAGCAGACTCACCGCCCAGGAACCCCGTAAGGTTCCCGATCTTGCCTAAGAATTTCATGTCAGGAAACTCTAGGAGCACTAACAGTGAATCAGATAATGATTTTTGAATTGGTTTTTTACAGTGTATAGATTACAAAAAGCTCGATTACAATCCGTAAATAGCTTAGTGATTTTTCAACGTTCTATTCCGTAAACTTTCAGCCAATAACTTGCATAGTTCGTCTTCCTCGTCTTTTCCACTAACGATTACGGGCGTTCCATCCACAAATATTTGTTCTTCAGTTGTTCTTTGGTCTGCAATTTAGGTGTAAACATTTATGATAGATTTACGCAACCAACTTTGGATTTCCATGTAATTATAACAGTTCCAACATTTATACCTTCAAATACAACAATGTGTACGTAGCATTTCTAACTCCGAATACTGTTTGGGTCAAGCAGGGAATGAAAAGCATGGCCCCGACCTGTCTCTTATCATCTGCATATTATTACTATGCCGTAGATCTGTTCTAGCCATCAAGATATACAGGTTGCGACTCACCATGGTCACTTTGTCATCATCTAAGCGACAATACTTAAGCATGGATCTTCCATGAGAAGGAATTCCGTCATGTATACTTTCCTTCTCGTCAATCCACTGAAGTAGACATGGTTCTTGGAAGATGACGAGTGACCTTGCAGCCGCCTGAACGATTTTTTCATCGATGGGTTTCATTGTTGGAACTCTCCTACACAAGTCATGACAGTTGACATTAGGATACGGAAAGAAACACATAAAATACACGAATCACACCGATAGTTTCAGAAATGCAGTGCAGTAACGCATTGTGCAGATTGAAATGCTAGCGTTAAGGCATACACATGCATCTTTCCTTCTTGCATATGTGTATTGAATGTGTTTAACTCATCATGTTTTTTGCATATGCATAAGGCTAATTAGTTTTTATGCTCGTTCTGAAGTACACAGCACGCGGGAGGCTGCAAACTTTACGATATAAAGAAAATTAATCCCCAAAACGTTCCCCCTATACTTGACTTTCAAGTGTATTCAGTGACATAATAAGGAGGAACTTCGTGAAAGACGGATTTATAAGTATCACTAAGATGAATTGTATGTAGTCTGGTTCTATTGAAAATAAAAATGGAGCAAACAGATCTTATGCCATAACATAAAAACAGAATTGGACTATACCTTTTCTGAAGTACTTTTTGACACTTTTTGCCCCCGATGGACGCATGGCGTAGGTGTAGCCTTAAAATTAAGACTACGTCTGAGCTTTTTTATCTCTGCCTCCTTTTGATCCTATGTCAAGCATACAGTTTCGATAAATAATTCAACTTTTGCAGGCTATATGACATAATTATATTTAGCACAGGTACAATATTATGCTCCTTAAAAGAATAGTTATTTGTATGATCACACCTTTGACTTCGGTTGGGAGTGTGCTTTCTCCGTCACTTTCGCATTGGATTTCGCCGCCAGTTTCTGTGAAAACTGAAATATATTGCTTAATGAGATTACATATATATGGTTAATAAATTAAAACAAAACGAGGTCGGGGGTCTGTTAACGGATACCTCTCTTTTATCTACGCAGTCATCACTTCTCAAGCTAACAGATGATGGAGCGGCCTTAGCAGTTCTTTTATCTAGATATCTATGACAAAAAGAAAAAAGTCGCATCGACTATGTGAAAGAAGCGCATGCACACAGAATACACAATCAGCAGTCACATATGAGTTTAAGGCTTTACCCTCCATTCTCTTTTGTCAGGGGCACAGAAGTGGAAACCCTTGATTCTTTTCCCTTCGTAGAGAGCTGCTTTTTCAATAGAAATTTTCAAGAAATAAAATTTGACGTTAGATGCTCTGATGCCAATCGAGGTACCCAGTCACTCTTCAAACGAGAAAATGTACTAAATTGACAAACCTGCTTTGGTGTTGGCGGTTTCTCTTCATTGGAGGGTTGTGGTTGGTTGTAATTGTTTTGAAATGTCTTAAATGCTCGTTTGACGATGTCCTTATCTCCCATATTCTCCATAATGGAAGACTTTCTGGTTGTGGTGGTCACAAAAGCTGAACCAGACATTGTGGGACTGGATTCCAAATTGAGTGACAAGTGCAAACGCTTGGGAGGAACTTCCTTGGTTTCCTCAGTTGAAGGATTTTTGCTCCTAGGAAAAGAGGAAGCAGTGCTCTTCTTTACTGAGGACCGCGATGCAGGTTTTGCAGTAGAGGTTGACAGAGACTTTGACACTCTAGGTGTGGAAGTTGATATAGACTTCGATACTCTAGGGGTGGAAGTTGATATAGGCTTGGACGTTTTAGGGGTCGGAGTTGATATAGGCTTCGACGCTTTAGGGGTCGGAGTTGATATGGGCTTCGATGATTTAGGGGTGGGAGTTGATACAGACTTTGACGCCCTAGGGGCAAATTTCTGTGGTGTTTTGGCTATTGGTGGAACTGGTTTCTTCTTAATGTTTGCCACATTTCTCTCCTTGCTCAATGGAGTAACCTACACAGCAAGAAAATGCAAAAGATATGGAAATCAGACAAGAAACAAACAAGTTCTCGGATTATGAAATAAAGAACATGGCATCTGGAGAAGTTTTGCTAAATAGGTTCAAGAGCTAAGTACTTCACCTTCGGAGATCCCTTCAGAAGATCCAATCTCGGTTTTACCTCTTGCACCTCTTTAACTTCTGGAGCGCTTCCTACATCATTGTCCAAAGTCTTTGGAACCTCCTGTACTCCCTGAGATTCAGCAGGGACATTTTCTACTTCTTTCACCACAACAAGTTCATCCTCCGGATTGTTCAAATCGGGACTATCCGTTCTGCTATCAGATTCTTCTCTCTCTCCCTCAGCCAATGAGCTTGGAAACTCTATGGTGAAAACATCATCCTCCTCGAGATCATCCACATGAGTTTTAATAATCTCGTTGTCGAAATTCGCTTCTTGATCATTTCCTTGGGCATTAATTTTATTGTTGGCCAAATCAATTTCGAAATGCACCTCAGAATCCGTCTGATCTCCACTCGTCTGGTCAGATTCCGACCTAAAGGTATCACCATCTCGCAATTGCTTCTCCTGTTCCATCATCTCCTCGGCTTTTCGAGCAGCAACCCTCTTGTAATGAGCTTCAAAGTAAGCCCTTTTCTGGGCCACTGAGCCAGGAGTGGCACATTTCTCCACTTCCTCCAAGTACTTATTCGGCGAAAACGTCGACCATTTCTCCCAAGACAGTGAAGAATCATTCTCAAATCTTCCGAAAGACACCGACACTTCCAGTAGAGGATTTGAACAATTTGAAGCTACCGTCTCCCTCTCAACCACCTGTTTATTTACCCAAAAAACCGAGAATCCAAAACATGTCCTTAAGCAACAACATAGTGGCAAAACCAAATCATGCAAATCTAGCAATTATACAGTGAATCAATCAAAACCGACAAAGCATAATCCTCAAACGACAACAATTGCAGACAAAATCGACCACATGGGTTATGTCCTTCGACAAATCTAAGGTAGAAACTAGAAAGCGTGTACCTTTTCAGCATCATTGGCAAAATCCACCATTGATTCACCCATGAGTTCTGAAAGAGTTGGAAGTGTTTGAGAGCAACCAGAGAGCTAAAAAGCAAGAGCTTTGCCTACCAGCAAGCATGGGGGCACATCACCAATCTATTGGATCACACACACACACGCAAAAACAATACCAAGAGTGAGAAAAAACCCAGAATATGTACCCAAAAAAAAAAAAAGGTTTAAAATTGTAAGAAGAAAAGAATATAAAAAAATTAAATTAATATTAAATAAAATAAAAAAACCATATCCATGTGTTGTTGTTCTGCCCTTTATTTTCTCATTACATGTTTTTCACTGTTTGCGGCACTTCTGGGGACTCCAAAAATGATAAAGGCAATCAATCATCAGAACAAGACAATTCCAATTATATGAAGAAAAATTGAAAGGTGGAGATAAAGGTTGAACTTGCAGATGATGACCCACCAAACACCAATTATTAATTTCCAAGGAAGATTTGGTTTTTACTTGCAGTCTCTTTGGATTCAAAAAAGGTTGAACAGATTGGGGACTTTCTTTTTCTCAACTACATGTGGATTAATGTCTGAATGGGAGGATTAATTAGTGGGAAAAAAGAGATTAATTGGGTAATTTCGAAGGTTTTTATTATTTGGTGAAATAATTATGAAGGCTCAACAAATCAGAGTGGGCGTATTGAATCAGCAAAGATATGAGTCGTTTACCCATCGTAACTAACGAAGCTTTTAATATGTTTTTGGTAGGAACAGACACTTTTTTTATTCATACATGTGATTCTATTTATTTATGGCTCGTTTTTTGAACTGCTTTTAATATAGCTGTAGGTGTTTTTTAAATTAATTTTTAGTAAAAATGCAAGTAAAATTTAAAAAAAAAAAAAAACACTTAGCTTCTTAACAAAAGCACATGACTGGTACTTCTTGCAAGGACTTTAAGTGCTTTTGCATTCCAAAAACATTTTATTTAAAAGAGACAGTTATTTTAAAAACACTTTTAAACGAGCTTTTACTTTTTTGATAGACCCAGACTAGAGAGGGAATTGGACTCAGTCATAAAACATGTCATCAATAATTTCTTGAGATCATTAATTATAGAAGTTGAATTTGAGACATCTCACCTATAAATGAAAAGAAATATCATCAAATTATAATACTAAAACACAAATATATTTTTTTTAAACTGATCTAAAAATATTAGAAATGTGATTCAAACTCTGTTAAAATGCGACTATTCATACACACGTCTAAGTAATAATATTATTGATAACACGTGGATTTCTCATTGGGTGCTTCAAAGAGACACCCAAGAGGTTCCAAGAAGTGATAAAAAATAGATGGACCGCTTGTGAGAGTGAAAGAGCACTACAGAATAAAGACGTGATAGTTAAAGTTACATGTGACAGGTCTAAACTTCAAAAGCTTCTAAGCACCCAACACCTTCAATTTCTTGTCTCTATCTACTTTAGGTTGTATATGGTACCCTCACAACTAAACAATACAGGTGACGTTTTACGGCATTAACATAAAGTAATTATATTTATGCATTCTGGTGCGAATTTAATCTCCATCTCCTTCCTCTCCATGTTTTGCATCATTAACCTTTCTAGGCCTCTTATTTCCGACTATGATTTTCTTCCTCCTAACTTGCCTTGTATTTTCCTCCTCCAATACCCCTAAGCTACTCAATCCCCTCCCCCCAAATCCGACCCGGATCCGGTACAAGATTACTGCGTAGCTGATCCAAAAACCCCTCAGACGTTTTTCCTCAATGGTGCACCATGCATTGACCCAAACCTGGCAACGTCTTCCCACTTCACCACATCAGTCCTAACCAAACCGGGGCAGCACAAAAGCCAACCCGTTCGGGTTCAACGTGACCCTCACCAACCGGTTCAATCTACCTGGGCTTAACACCATGGGCCTGACATAGCAGCCTATGGGATTGTGCCACCTCGCTTGCACCCAGGGACTCCGAAGTCACAATCTGCCTCAAGGGCTTGCTTCTTGTGGGCTTTCTGGATACTTCAAACACAGTCTTTACCCCAACTACTGAAGCCTGGTGAGTCATTTGTGTTCCCCCAAAGCTCTGATACATTTTCTGTACAACTAGGACTCGGTGGCTCCACCTGTGGCCTTGGCCGGGCTCAGTAGCCAAAACCCGGATTTAGATTCTCTCCAGATCCCCTCAATTGGGATCCCGAGGATCAATGCATAGTAACCGTTCATCAAAGATCGTGCAGCCATAATTTTTTATTTTTATTTTTTTTTTCACGTAAAATGAGGCTGTTGTACTTTTAAAAATATAAAAAGCATTCAATTATGATCACGTGATCTTTGATAAACGATTACTATGCATTGATCTCCGGAATTCCCAATGAAGAGATCTGGAGAGGATCTAAATCCCCAAAACCCTGGTGCACAGATTGTGTCACTTGCGACATTCACATCCAAACCTTTCAATCCCAATTGAGAAAAAAGAACCTCGAAGTTGATTTTGTAGTATAGTTGCGAAACGTAAGTAGCCAATAAACCGAATGTTGTGCCGGTTGCCCACTATCCATTCACATCCTGGAACTATCCTACCTTGGAAAATAAAATCCCTATTGATCATACCAAGCGCAAATATTTTTTACTGAAAAATATCATGAATTCAAATTTCGCGCACGATTTGAGAAAACGCAAGAAAATGTGAAGCATTTGTAGGAATTAAAAAAAATGAAGTGATTGGATCCCAGCTCATACCTCTGTGCTCACTGCTGCTGCAGTGCAAGTGGTTTTATGCCATGCATCTTTGTCGGGAATTTTTCCAGCTTTCATCACTAGGTCTAGGTCTCTATCCAAGGTTTTGTCACCATTAGGTAACTTACAAATAATTACTTAGGTGAAAAAAAACGTGTGGTAATAACTTGATTCCCCATGGTAAAAATAATCAAATCCTTATCTTGGACTGGGATTTTTTCCGAATTCCTTCCGTCCTGATCCTTCAGATCCTTTAATTCTAGAGAGAGAGAGAGAGAGATGAATAGGAGAAGGTGAACAAGAAATAAGAGGGAAGAAAATGAACCGAAGAATGTGAGGATGGAAGAAGATGAACATGAATAAGTGAAGGTGAACATGGTATTAATTCGTGACCGTTCGATTTTCGGTTGAACAGACAGAATTTAAGGATTGGAGTAGAAGGATCCGAAGAGGATCTTATTCCCTTATGCTCATCATTTCATATCCCAACCAAAGGTCCACTTCCTTGCGAGTGGATCATTAAACTCATTGGGTTTATAATGGTTACTAATTTGCCAGGTACATCGAACAATCCTACATGGCTTAACTGTCAAACGTCAAACACATAAATTTTTAAGTATCAGAACGCCAAAAATAGTTGTTATTCTAAACTTATCATATACTGACATACGTTTTAGATCATGCATATAATATTGTATAATTAGTTTAAAACACTAGCATCTTCGCGTCCCAATCACAGTGGTAGGTAAGTTCTTTCCCTTTCATCACTATAATGCATTTGAATTAAAAGTTGAAATTTCTCAAGCTAAAAAAAAGAGTTGAAATGAAAAAGTCCAAATTAAAGAATAGAAGGTTCAACCAAACTTGATGATGTGAGGAAAATACAGGGGAAGAGAAGGGCACTTGGCAGCTTATTGGCATCATGACATGATACGTGGTCAAGAATTGTTGCAAACTACCCATTTTATTGTCTTTTCTTGACGCACATCATCCACCTGAAACCGAGTGAGTTTTGCACTAGAGTTTAAGCCCCTGCTCCTACTCTTAGCCACCCAATTAAATAACGGAAATGGATTGTCTACCCTCTTATTTTCATCTATTTCTATGTCATCCTATAATGTGTGATCACGGTTAAGTCACGTCAATATTTTATTTTAATTTTTTATAGAAATAATAAAATAAAAAGTAATAGAAATATAAAATGTTGACGTAACTTAACTGTAACCACACAAACAGAAGAGAATGAGGAGAGTATGGAAATGAGAGGGCAAACAATCCACCTCCTTAAATAACTTGACAATTTGAATTTTTAAAATATAAAAATGGTGACGTCAAACCAGCAATGCTCGTTATTTTATAAGTTTCGGAAGAGAAACATCTATCGAACAAATACCCCAAAATTAAAAATTAATAAACCCCACAAATGGTAAGAAAATGTGAGTTGTACAAATACCAAAGTAAATTAAAAATAAATAAATACTACTGGGTGGAAATTGAAAATAATATGGAGTGGAGTGTGGAGCAAACTTAGCAGCACTTAAGATGCCAAAGTCGGATTTTTAAGTCAAAGAAATTAGTTTAGAACACCAACTCAGTTTTTAAGTAATCACACATTATTAGGGATTAGTTGGAACACCAATCGATTTTTAAGTCAATCACATACTGTCAAAAATTGATCGAAAATACCGTCAAAATGACATCCCAACAACGCTCCCAAGAGAGCCCCGTGAACCCATTGAGCTGTAACACATTGATTTCACTGTCTACACTGTCATTCAGATTCTCAGGCCACTTCCAGAATTTGCAATTATTGAGAGACAAGGCGACAGAAAATGAATACACCAAATATACAGTCCACATCTAAGAAAAATAAAAATTGGAAGCGCTTTGAAGCGGAGGAAGGAAGAACAAGAAGCGCATGATATTTGAGATGATAACATTCTCTCCTCTTTGGGACCCAGAAATTGAAAATTGGATCTCATCACACATGTCAAATCCGCCGAGAAAATTCCAGAAACAAGAAAAAAAGAAATTAAGACTGACGAACAATCCATGAATTTTCTGCTCACAGTTTCACCTAAAATTCAATCAATCTGTACACAATCGCTATCAAAAGAATGTCTGAATCAACAATGTATGAAAGAATTATCATAAACCGTGTCATCTCACGACAAATAGCTCGAAAACAAGATCAATGTAGATGCAGAGATCGACGATAAGGATTGAAACTTCGCCGGGTTGTGGTGGTGGATCGGCTTGTAAAGATCGTAAGGCTCCCAGAGGTGGTCCAGCGGGCACGGGTTTTTGGATTCGAGTCTGACCCACGGCTTTCCCTTGCCGCTCCAATGGAGGAGGCTGACCGGACCCGGGTGCAGAGACCGGCAGCTGCCTCTGACATTGTCGCCGCCGAGGCCGTGCTGGTTCCACCGGTGGTCTATGGCCTCCACGTTGCCGGCGAAGACGAGTAGGAACGGCGGCAGAGAACCCAGCTCGTAAATCCTTCGCTTTCTCTGTAATTCCATCCAGTTCTCGATCCTCTTTCGGTAATTTCCCTCCCTCCACCTCACCAGGTCCATCACCATCACACCGGTGTTGAAATAGCAGGGGTTTCTTGAGGAAAAAACCCGGGAGAGAACCGGGTCGGACCAGAACCCGTCGGTGAAGTACTTGGTAAAGTTGGCATGGCAGTACTCCGGGGCTCCGATGACCCGCGACCCGGTGAGCGAAATGTTCCAAAGCTTGTGAATGTCGTCGACCACCAGTAAATCGGAGTCCAAGTAAATGACCCGGTCCACGCACCGGCCCAAAATGTCGCCCAGGTAATTTCTCGCGTAGTTGAGCGGGTTCTCGAGCGCCTGCCGAATCGACGACGAGATGAGATTAATGACGGTGTCCTCCCGGAAGATGTAGACCTTGAAATTAAGCGAGGGAAAGGTGGATCGGACGAGTTGGGTCAGGACCCGGGGACTCGCGGGGTCGAACTCGGCTGCGATGAAGTGGAAAAAGACATTTTCCGGGCAAGAAGCGTGCTTGATGACGGAGTGCACGGCAGCTACCGACCCCCGGAGGTACTCGGAGTCGAGAGTCATGGCGATGTGAACCAGCGATGGGTCGCAGGAGGACACCATTTCCCGGTTCAACGAAACGGCGCATTCGGCGCCGTTTCGGTAGTCGGGGGCTTCGGAGAATCGGGCCCAGGCGGCGGAGCCCGGTTCGAAGGCATCACCGCCGTCGATCGCCCTTGTCGGGAATGAGCGAGTCCCGATGCAGAAGGGGGGGAAGAGGAGGGAGATACTGGAGACGAACAAAACGGCGGCGTACAGCCGGAATGGGAGCATTGCTCGCCGCTTTTCGTGGTGGGGGTTTCGTATTGTGTATTCTTGCTGGGTTTATGGTGGGGTTTCTTGCTGGGTTTATGAGAAATCGAAGAGAGTGATGGAGTAACAGAAATGGTGGGTGCGGGGTGTCTGGATGTGTCCGGGTGGAGGATGAGAGATAGTTATTATAGAGAGAAGAAAGAGACGGTTGTGGGAGATTTGCAAATTTTCACTAATTAAGTAAGTATTACCCAATTAATTAGACACTTCAAATGCAATCAAATCTTAACAATCCCAATTTCTGAAATTACAGAAACAAAAAAATAAAAATAAAAAATTGCAAAGGAAAATGAAAAGTGAGAAATGCCAAACGCGGAGATATGGCCACACGGACACAGAGCGTAGAAAAAGGTTTTTATTATTTTACTATTTACCGTCCTCCCTCCCTCGGTCCTCTCCGTAACCGCAGTTAAGTACTAATAGTTTTTTTTTTTTCTTTTTGGGTTTTGTTAAATTAACTATTGATAAAATTTGAATTTACGCTATCATGTAAAAGTTCAACTCTTTACCGTAAATACTAAATAGTTTGATGGCTTTCTATTTTTCGTTTTCTAGGTAAAAAAATAAATTCTATTTTTACTAAAACACGTCGGAAAATTGAAAAAATGGGAGGGATTTAAGAAAAATATGTGCATGAATGTAAACTTCCTAAAATAATTATATTCCTTTTTTTTGGTGAATCGGGATTAGTGAAAATTAATATGCATTTAATTGAAAGAAATAAAATAAAAGAAGAAGGAAGGGTTGGGATTTGGTTTCAAAATTGATGGTATATTGGGGACTGAGATTGATTCATCAATGTGCATTTAATCTACTTCATCAGAATCAGAAGCCTTTTTCATTCATGACCAAACATGCCTTAAACCTCCTGTCAATAGAATTAATATTCATTTTAAAAAATAATATTCATTTCCATTTATTATAGATTCATTTTTTTTTTATTCTGACAATTAGGAAATGCGATGATCTATTTTAAACTGAGTAATGATATTCATACCATGTTTTTGTACCACATTTTTATACCATCTTAGGTGACATCTAATGTGGATAGCCACATCATTTGAAAAATTTGCAAAACCTAAGGAAAAACAGGAGAAAAACTCATCATATACCACAATCATCATTTAATTAACTAGTTTTTCTTAATTATTAGTTTATTAAATAATGAACTAAATTTAAAAATCTGATTAATTCAAATGATGTGGTTGTCCACATCAAATGTCACCTAAGTGATATAAAAATATGGTATGAATAACATTACTCTTTTAAATTGTACTTAGTTTGATTTGAGAAACCTCCAGATGTTATACGAAATACCCTCTACCAAGATAAATCTTTGGAATTCAGTTTGATATCAATATATTGGTTTTTTTTTTTTTTTTTTTTGAAGAAATCAATATATTGGTTTTGAAGAAAAAAACAATATTAATTTACATAGGGGGTGACTAAAACACAAGTGCAAGCGCGGGTAAGCAGATACATTTATTTATTTTTTGTTCAAAGATAAACTTTATTGATAGAAGAAGATATTACTAGAGATAAACATAAAAACAAGTTGCAAGTAGGCCAAAGGGCAAAGAAGTCCAAGTAAAGCACATGATGACTCAATTCGTTGACACAAATCCCCACCAACATAAGAGATGCTTTGTTACCTTATTGGTCTAACTCACATTTCTCATTCATACCATGTTTTTATATCACATTTTCATACCATTTTAGGCGGCATTTGATGTGGACAGTCACATCACTTGAATTAATCAGATTTTTAAATTTAGTTCATTATTTAATAAATTAATAATTAAGAAAAACTAGTTAATTAAATGATGATTGTGGTATACGATGAGTCTTTCTCCTTTCTTTCCTTGGATTTTGCAAATTTTTCAAATGATGTGGTTGTCCACATCAGATGTCACTTAAGATAATATAGAAATATGGTATAAAAAACATAATACGGATAACATTACGTTTACGGATGCCTAACTAAAACAACTCACACATGGTAAGACATGTGCGTGATTTTGAAGAACCAAAATACAATGAATCCAAACTCTATTGGGCGATGCCATACAAATAGTAAAATATTTGAATGTCACGGTTACGTCATCACATAATACTTATAATTTAAGTAAAATTCATGAATAAACGACATAGTTAATAAAACTACAGTAAAAAAGCGACAAATACACGAGAAAAAAAAAACTTTTTCTAATTGGACGCCGCTACCTAAGTTCTGTTTTCCTTTTTCTGGCATGCGTACAACTGTACATCAAAGTTAACGATTATATGTGAATATAAGAATTAGCAAATAGCAAAGAAATGACCTTGTAAACGAAAAAAGATATCAGGTCAGAGAAAGCAGCAAAAAGTACGGGTGGACAGCTGGGCAACTTGGGGCGAGGGAGTGGGAGTTGAGAAATTTTTTATTATAATTGGAACACGGTGCTATATTACATATTTTTACATAAATGATGAAATTTTTTATTTTTTAAATTATTAATTTTTAACATATATATTCTACTATTAATACGTTCAATTATATTGAAAAATCTCACTGAGGGTGAAAGCGAGGGTGAGGCATTCACGTCCCCTCATTATTTTTGTTGTTGCCAATTAGGAACAAGTTATACTCTTTGTTGGCTCCCACCGCCCGGATGCCAGCTGTTTCTTCTCGTTGGCGGCTACGTTCAGCCTGGCAACTTTGCCCCATGGTGTCTCTTTGCTGCCTCTTTCGAGCTTATGGACCACGTGCCCCGACGTGCTCCCACTACCAAGTAGACTAGTGGACTTTCTATTTCCCGTTTTCTCCCTTCTGTTTTTATCTTTTTCTGGTTAATTTTCTTCTTTTCTGTATTAATCGTCCGGAATATGCTACGGGATATCAACTTTGTTGAGTTATAACTTGTTTAGATATACTTTTAAAATGATTGAAAGTGTTTTTAGTAAAAATATTTTTAGAACTAATCCTTAATAAAAATGCAAGTAAAATCTGGAAAAAACACTTAAAGTGTTTTATGGAAGAAGCACATAACTTGTGCTTCTTACAGAAAGCACTTAAAGTGCTTTTAGAACTAAAAAACATTTTCTCTAAAAGCGCTTTCAGCTATTTTAAAAGCACATCTAAACGAGTCCTTACTCAAATGGGAGAAATATTCAATTCTCAAATGGTAATGAATCTGATTATATGTTATATTTTTGTCCCATTATTAATTTAGACACTTGGGGTGGTGTAGTCAAATTATGATTTGATAGGATTTCACAGGATTTTAATAGACTTTAAAATCAGAATGTAGTCAATCAAGATTTTGAAAGAGGATTTTAAAAGACTTTAAAATCATAATGTAGTCAAATTAGTATTTGAGATAATTTTAAAAATACATCCAAATCCATGGATAGTCAATATAGATTTTGATAGGGATTTTTAAAGTGATTATAAATCTAGGCGTATTAAAAAAAATCAAGGATTTGACAGTACTTCGTTAAGTTGTGGATTTTGTTGGATTTGTGAGCACAAATATACATAACCAAGAGAAAAAAGAATCTCACCTCAACCCCTAGGATTTCCAATTCAACTTATTCACATTTTATCACTTCCTTCTTTCCTCTCTCACTCCTCTCCCAAACACTATCGGGTTGTAACAGAATCTCACGGAACTCTTACCACCCATAGATTTGATTTTTATGACTTGGATTATGGGAATTGGATGAAGAGGTGTGTTTAGTTGGTGGGTGGTGGGTATTTGAAAAAAGAGCAGTGGGGTTTGTTTAGTTATGGTGAATTGGGTCCTTCAGGTTTGATAAAAAGCGCAAGAGGGTTTTTGGAGTGGGAGAATGGGACAGAAGAAGCTGAAGCGTGGAGGAGGGAGTCAGAAGACGAAGAAGGCCTTGAAAGACCACGGGGCCTGTGTTGGAGATGATAATAATTAACTTATTTCTGAAATATCTCAAAGAAATTTCATCATGACATTTAAATAAGCAAATGGTTTTCTATTGAATTGAATATTTGTAAGGATGGTCTATGAATCTAGACTTACAAACTAAATGGTTCGGATCGTTAACGTTTGATGCATAATGGATCTCCTAACTAATTCCCTTTTTCTTTTTTTTTTTAAGATAAAAATCCCTTCTTTCTTTTTTTTTTTTTATAAGAAAAAAATTAAATTAAAAGGAGAATCCTCTGGTACAACCATAACCAATACAGTCAAATCGAAAAATTTGGAAGGCTGAAGGGGGAAGACAATGATCCAAAAAATAGGGATTCGAAATCGAAACCACCACGTCAGCTAGACTATCAGCCATAAAATTAGCTTTTCTAAAAACAAGAAAAAATCCCTTATATTAAGGGCCTGCATTACCAATAGTTCTTAATATTGCGTCATACCAACTAGCGATTGGTCTAAGTCAAAATCTCTTTTGGTTTAATAAAAAATGACACTTCTTAATATTCCCCACCTATATATTTTGATGCATGAGCTACTTTTGTCACATTGCATAAGATATCACTTACAAAATATTAATATTTTCATCTTTATATAGCCCAATGAAGACGAACAAGAAAATGTCAGGGCACAGGGAAGAATGGGTGTGTGAATCATACACTATGATCATCTAAAAATATTTAAGAATGCAACAACACGATGTGACAAATTTCACTTTCAATTTCCTTTCCAAGTATTAACCGTTTCTTTTAATTGTTTTGAGGTGGAGTCACATGATTTGTGCACACCATAAACGACTACTTATTTAAACTTTATGTAGGTCGTGGACGTTTGACAAATACATTTTGCAAAAAGCCCACTTAATCATCTTTTTTATGTCTACTATGCTCTATTTCTTTTTTTATTTATAGCAATTTGATTAGAATATTGAGTCCGCTCTCTTGCAATTAAATTTGAATTTCATTCACTGCAAATCAACTAAGTTATAATATCGTTAAGAAAAAGTTCAAGGACAAAATTTGCAAACATGACATTGTTTTTTTTTTTTGTTTTTTTTTTTTTTGGTGGAAACAAATGTACTCTAACAAGAATTGAGATCCTCTCTGTATTTCGAAGTATGGAGCCAGCGCCTCCAGAGATCGGTTCGTTCAAGGGAGAGAGATAATCAATTTATGTCAGGTTAAAAAAAAAAAAAAGACTTGCATTCTGACTATTCTCAATGAGAACTGGTAAAGACCGGT